AAAAATTTTCGCACGCATCTGGACGTCGAAAGTAGCACAGATTTCTGCATGATCTTATATAGATGTTCATTTAGACCCAGCTTTTTTATGTTTTCTAGGAGGTTCTTCGGAATGACTCCAGTGGTAGAAAGAATAATAGGTATCGTCTGGGTACTTTCCATTCTCCATTGTCTCCTTATTTGTATTTCCAGATCTCTGTACTTGGCGATCTTTTCGTTGTACTTAACACGCAGATTATTGTTGTTAGGTATCGCCACATCGATTAGAGTTGTTTGTCGTGTTAGTTTATTAACTAGCACGAGATCTGGTCTATTATGTGCTACAGTTTGGTCTGTGAGCACAGTGCGATCCCAGTATAGCTTGTAGTTCTCATTCTCAAGCATACTCTCTGGAACGTATTGATAATATGGGAGATGGTTTGTTTGTAGAAGTCCCAGTTTAATAGCTATCTCTTGATGAAGGATCTTCCCTACTGAGTCATGCCGTTCCTTATATTCAGTTGCAGCAAATGCCTGGCAGCCTCCGGTAAGATGTTGGATCGTTTCTTGGGCTTGGCATCCATATCGGCATTTGTCGTTTTGGACCTGAGGGTCTTTGACAATATTCGTATTATTATTATTATTATTATTATTATTATTATTATTATTATTATTATCCAGATTTAGCCATACGGCTCACACTCCCTCTAAGGGGAAAATTCACTCATCCCAGATACCTACGGTATCAGAAGGATTGAGCTCTGGTGGGACTCTTTCCGTGTTATCGAGCCCTAGGTGACTTGGTATGCTGGAGTATCTCCCAAAAATTTTCGTACACATCGAGATGTTGAGAGTAGTACAGCTTTTTGCATGGTCTTGTAGAGATGTTCATTCAGACCTAGCTTTTTTATATTTTCTAGGAGGTTCTTTGGAATGACTCCAGTAGTAGAGAGAATAATAGGTATTGTCTGGGTACTTTCCATTTTCCACTGTCTTCGTATTTGAATTTCCAAATCCCTGTACTTATTATTATTATTATTATCAGATTTAGCCATACGGCTCACACTCCCTCTAAGGGGAAAATTCACTCATCCCAGATACCTACGGTATCAAAAGGATTGATTATTATTATTATTATTATTATTATTATTATGTTCTTCCGGTTTCTGTTCACGTAAGCTTTCCCACTATACCGTCGAACTGCGTTAACTGTCCGTGTCCATTCTGTTGGATTTCTTTTGCGCTTTCTCCCTTTTGTCGAAGATTCTACCATAACGCCCCCTTCATTTTCAATCACAATATTTTCTGCTCTAAGATTATCGGCAGGTAAATTGGAAACATCTGAAACAAATTTCAGTGGTCAAAGCGTGTAAAGTCAAACACAATTTTTTTTATTTGAATATGATGTAATTTCAGTCACAATAATAACAAAAAGAATTATTTTGTGTTTATCTTTAGTAATAATTTTAACATTTAATCTATTGTGAACAGAAAAAGCATAAAACACATTTCCGTAAGAAATTATTCCCGACTTTTTAGGTTAAGTTACTTACTTGAATCAGATAAATTATTTCCATTGTTAGGCACATATTCTGATCCACTATCCGAGTAAGGATCATTTTCTTCTAGTTCTAATGGTAAATCAACTGTATTTTCATTTATTATTACCGATAAAAAGCGTGAAATAAAACTCAAATCAAACAGTGACACGCCGAGATGACTTACACTAATTGACTTCCGATAATTTTTCAGTTTATTTCTGACGCTAAATAAAGTACCGCCATCTGTTGGTTTTACTGTCAAGCATTGACTTCGGCGTTTTGCCTGTAGAAAGTTTGAACTGTAAGAAGGAATCTTCGGTATATAACTCAATTTATAGTGAAAAGTGACTTACACTAATTGGCTTCTGAGCCCTCCATATCTGGTGGGACCTGGCACAGGATTTAGTATATTGATGGATCTAAACAATATACAACGCAATTAGTAAAACCCCCAAATTTGGTAAGATAATATGTGTAGCACTTGAGCCACCACTTACACGTGACTGAGGTGGTAAATATTTGTTCCAAATTGTGCCATCGCGAGCAGTATATTGTAAATCTTCTTGTTCAGGAACTTCTATTTCATTTTCCGAATTTTCGCTTTCATCTTTCTCATCATTAACTATAGGAACATGATCTTTTTCAGAAAATTCGTTATCTACTAACTCTTCATCACTAGTGACGGTTTCTAAATTGGTAGATTCATCTTCATTTTATAAGTCTTCTTCAAGAAGTTTTTATAATTCCTCTTCTGTGAGTCCTCTCCTGGAGCTCATTTTTCAGTAAGCGCTGATTATTCTGTTTTTCACAAATGTACACCACACTCTCTCAACTCTAAACTAAAAGCGATCAACTCTGGTACAACACTAAAGATCCTCGACAAACGCTTCCAAAAATAGAACCCACAAAACCTAATCACCCTTTTCAATAAAATAAACTAAACAAGCATCACGTACATTTGGAAACACTTCTGGGTACAGGTGGACCCATAAATAATAGATGTGTTTCTTTTATTTCAAAGAAAACCTAACTGATATTTCAAAACTTAAATACGTTATAATGTATATAAACCTTATCTTAAGGATATCATGAAACATCACGTCTGAAATTTACGATATAATAAAAATATAAACATTTGAATTTTACTACTGGTTCCAGGTGTATCCAGAGACAATACAAAGGTTAAGGCGATTACCATAAACAAATTATAATTTACATGTTTTTATAAGTTCTCAGAAACGTGAGCTAGGAAATTCTGTAACTGTTTAATTCTAACTCTGTAATTGTTTTATCGACCCATTCTTTTTTCACACTGTGCCCGATATTTACCCATGATTCATTCAAATACACTATGTTGTATCCTTCTGCATGGTATTTACGAGTTGTGTGTAAATAACGATGACGCCACGAGATGATTTCTGGTTTTTAAATCAAAATTGAATTTCTGTTACGTTTTATAAACAAAAAATTCATATCAGTCAGCAAGCGATGTAGCGTGGCCCGTGAAAAGTTGGGCAAAGTTTCTTCGACATTTACAACAGCTAATATAGTATTGATGGTGGCATGTTGTCACGAAAAAATTGATGAACGATTCTACGAATTTGGCCCCTGACACCTTCATCGTACTTGTTGTCACGAGAATTACCAACCTTTCGCTTCTTGGGCCTGTTCTTTGGAGATTGTAATCCAACAGGTGATGAATATTCCTGTCATATGCAAAACAGAGTCTTTTCTGACACTTTTCTAATTACACTTGAAACAGAATCGTTGTTATCCTGATTAAGATGATAATTAATAATATTCATTAGTATCTGCTTCTCTGAAAGTTTCAGAGCTTTTCCACGTTTCCATTGATTAATTTCCTTCATTTTGCGGTAAAAATTTGGCGTCAAATATAACAATAGCCAACAACAGAAAATAACAATAATTGACAATAGCAAATCACAACAACAGCCACCAACAAATAATAACAATAACCAAACAGTAACAGTATATTCAAGATGGTACAAATAATCGTAACTCGAAGATATTCTGTACAAGAATTACTCTAATTGCTTCTTAATTACTGAACAACTCAGAAGAAAGTATTTGAAAAACTTTGAAACAAATGTTTATTTAATGCACATTTTATTATACTACTGCTACTAATAAAAGATAAAAGTTAATATGTTAATATTAGAAACAAATAATGTATAGTATTATGTAAAATAATTGGCAACCGATATTTGTAAATTAGGTACATAAAATTGTACGTGAGGACTTGTTAAGAACTCTTGGTTTATTCCGTATATTTTGAAAGATACACAATAGAGAACGTCATCGCTCACTACATAAAACTGGCAACGTCTTGGCGAAATTCCCATAAGGTTAGCATTGCATATCTTACCCTGAAATGACTATACTTTGTTTCAATTTAATAAAATAACATTACACTTATGGAGATCAGTGTTGCCAAAACTCTCACACACTCTCTTTTGCACGGATGTCTAAGATATTCCCTTTGCTTAATTTTTGAATTTTCATTTTCAATTAACATTTAACTGTAAAGTCAGAATAACTACTAAACAAAAGCCTTATTATCATTATGTAGTCAGCGAACGACATAAAATCGCTGACATACGCAAATCGTATTATTTTAAGTTGCAATTAGTAATTAGATATACGCATTCCAAGTCCGTTTATTTGCTTTTAAAACTTTAATAGGCGGCAAAATGCATGATTTAACTAAGCAATATTTTCATTTTCTACTGATTTCTATGATTCATGGCTCACCGAAAAACAAATAAACTGTCGTTACTATAATTAAATTAAGATAAAATAAAATTATCTTTTGTAAATACTATTTACCTAATTAAAATCATTTTCCCTACTTTTCATCTCTCATTTCGAATAGGCACGTTTGGTCAATTACGTTAGAAAACATTAATTTAATTCATATCTGTGGAAACGAAAATACAAATTATACAACCCTAAATTCTGCTTGTGTGCGTCGTGGCAACGCCGCGTTTCTATCGTCTATCGTAAATCGTAAATCGTTTCTATCGCGTTTCTATACCGCAATGTTATTTTCTTAACGTGGAACGTAGAATAGTCACTTTGGGACAAAGTATAGTAGTATCGTCGAACAGAGGTTTTTGATAAAGGTCGAAAATAGGTGATTGAGATTCCTGCTGATGAACCTGTCGTCGAATGTATTAGCGTTTTGATGCCTTTCAGCTTTAAAACTTTGGATGGTAACAAGAAAGACATTATTGGATGAAATATTTGTTATTTGGGTAATTTTAGTTATTATTAATTAATTATAGTGGATTTCTTTGTAGTAAGTTAGTAAGTAGTAAGTGTACTTTACTTCCCTGTGTGTAATCGCTGAACTCGCAGAAAAACGTAAGTTAATCTTATTACATTAACTTTAATTACTGCTTAATATAACGTAAAATTGAGTAAATAATCAACGCATTTAAAAAATCCTATCTCTGCTTACCTCAAATAGGTATTGATGAAGTCTAAATAATGTTTCGGCGTGACATAATTCTTTCTTCTCATTGTCAATAAGTAATCTGTAGTATATTTATTAACAGAACTATGCACGTGTACTACATGCTCGATAATATTATCACGATATTGTGCGGGTAAAATTGGGTTTTCTTTTAAAAAAGCTGAGGCAACGGCTACTAGGGCTTGTAAAGGCCATGGATACATCCAATCAATAGTAGTATTATTGACTAATCCTGAAAGTGAAGAATAATTAAAAAATGTCCGTAATACCATCGGAAATCTATTTTTTTTCTATGCAGTAAATATGAAGAAAATATCCGTAAAAATATGAAATATATCAGGTGTTTTGTTAAGAAATAAACATAGAATAATTGAAGATCTGCTTCAAATTAAAACTTTTTATAAATAAGTATACACTAGATATTAAAACATAAATTGCTTTCGAAATTCAGGGTGTTTAAAATAAAGAATATTATTTATACTATTTTCAGAGTAAAATAGAAATGTTAAACTTTCTGCCACTACATAATATCTCCAACCATTTAGTTGTTTGAGACCCATCTCCGTTACGTTTGCTAATACCAAAGTCTATAACCCCCAGTAATCTTGCGTATATCACACGGCTCCTCAGCATGAAACGACGATTCGCCCTTATGATTAATTCGTAGAAAGTGTTGTCGCATGCTCCCTATATATACAGAAATGCGCCATTATGGTATCCCTAATATTACTATTCAGCAGTTTTTCTAGAGTCTTCAGTACATATGACATTAGATTCATCGGCCACAGTAACTTAGCTTTTTTCTCTTCTGTTTTGCCATGACCCTCATAACTCTCCATGACTTTAATGTATTACTCAATCCTAAGTTTCTTTTTAATCGCCGTATGGCCAGATTTCAGTAAGAGCCTAAGAAGGTATCCATTGAATTCTGACGTCTGAATTCCATTTATCGTCACGGAACACTCTAAGACACTCTGGTATCTTTCGGATGAGTAGGATACTAGCTCAGAAGATCCCAGGGTAGTGCCAAATTAACCGTGTTTCGGCTATAACCTTAACCACCATTTCAGAGAGGTAGTCTTGCTACTCCATGAACGACTAAAATTAAAAATTAAAAACTTATAAATAACCATACCTATTACCGTAAATTAGAAAATATTTCAGCTGTTAGGCTATAAACTAATAAATAATATAACCATAAATTTCAGATCCTTGGTTCAATTTCCTTCTCTGCCCTTCTGCTTCTTTTTCTTTATCACCCCAGAAATCAGACAGTGTACTTCTCTCCCTTCTTTCTTTCCTCTCAACATTATGTTTACGGTTGTTTCATCCAGCCCGAAACCCATTCGCCTGCAGTCCGAAACTCAGATCGAAAATAAGCTCATTTGTACTCATTGCATTTCCACTATCATTCGCCCATTCTCTCTGTCACTCTACTATCGTTCTTTCTCTCTCATTATTGTCTATATTTACATCCATCCTCCTCAGATACATCCTCGCTCGCTCTTTGGACAACAAAACGATTGGTATCACCGCTCCAATGACATATACCAATGGCAGGTAGCGAAGAGATCCAGAGAGTCGACAAATTCACTTACCTCGGAACTACCCTCAACTCACAATGGGACTACGCTCAATAGATTAGATCCAGAATTAAAATGGCACGGTCTACATTTATTAAGTTGAGATCCTTGCTGTGCTCCAGTGATCTCAGTTTGGGAACCAAGATGCGGATAGTGAGGTGCTACGTTCTTCCAGTGTTACTATATGGAGTTGAAGCCTGGACACTGACGCAAGCCACTGGAAAATGAATCGAAGCCTTCGAAATGTGGATATACAGAAGGATACTAAAAATATCTTATGTGGACTATGTCACCAACGTTGAGGTCCTACAGCGCATGACAAAAGAAAAAGAAGTTCTTAATTTAATTAAACAACGTAAGCTTGAGTACCTCGGCCACGTGATGCGGGACGAAGAAAAATATCGAATTCTTCAACTCGTTATGCAGGGTAAAGTATTTGGCAGAAGAGGACCGGGACGTCGTCGTATCTCGTGGTTGAAAAATCTCCGACAATGGTTTGGGATGACCTCAGCGGAGCTGTTTCGCAGAGCAGTCAACAAAACCATGATAGCCTTGATGATCGCAGACATCCGGACCGGATAAGGCACTGAAGGAGAAGAATATATAGAGGCTTATTTGAAACCGTCCTATATGCGCTAGATACCCTGAGAAGCATTCGCCCTTGCAAAGTCTCCATCAGCCTAGTGTATTTTGCAGTGTTGAGTACGCTATACAACACGGGTGTAGCGTAGGTTACCACCGAATGGAAAATTTGATTTAGAATCAGAACATGCGTGGTAACCGCTATTATTTTGGCATAGGTCATCAACTAAGAGCAAAAAATATATCAAGACCAACAAAGTGCAAACTTTTTTAAACAATATTTCGCCCAGTGCTCACCTACGAATCGGAAACATGTGCAAAGACGTCCCGAGATGAAGAGTTACTAATAATCTTTGAAAGAACAGAATTGAGGGCCATATATGGCAGATTTAATGAACAGGGTCTGTGGAGAAGATATAAGTTCGAGCTCATAGAACTTTTGGTGATACAGATATCGTAAGAACCATCAATATAAACCACCTAAGATGGGTGGGCCATGTTATGCCGATGGATAAAAGTCATCCTTCTCAAATAACCATGGTAAATAGGCAGGTTGGAAGAAGAAGAAGGGGACGAACTAAACTCATGTATCTTGACGATGTCCAGGACGATTTAAGGGAAAATGAAGTAGGGGGATGGAGAAGACAGGCACTGGACAAGGAAGGATAGAAGAATGTTTTGAGGCAGTCCAGGACTCTGATGATAATGATAATTGCCATATGTATTTTTTACTAATTTGTAAAGCTTAGGTATGGTATCTCGCTAAATTTTGGTTTTCTTTATATTTCATAAATATAATTAGTATTGTATGCACAATTTTTAATAAAATAAGATGTACTACACCTGAGAAGGAGCTAGGTATCGTTTTATAGCTAAACAATTAAGGTGTTATTTTCTTGTTATACAGTTGACACCTAACAATCTAGAGAATTGCTTTATTGTTACAACATTTATGCCTTTTAAACGATTTTAATAACTTATAAATACACAGTTAAGTTATTATTAAAAACAAAAAACAATTAGCTTTATACTTTAGTACAATTCTCATTTACTCTCTGTGTAGCCTCCGTATACTAAGTTTAATCTAGTCACAAAATTTTGTCTGTTGGTAATTCTTCTCGTCAGTCATGAGTGTCAGATATCAAATCAATGTAATTGGATTGAGAATGTCTCCTGTTCCATTTAAATATAACTTTAATTCATGTATACATTTTATTTGTTCATCATCTTCTTTGGGTTAGTTTGAATACTTTACAAACATTCAGTCTTGATTAATAATTTTCTTTTAATAATTGTTGGAATGAATTTTTTTTACCATTACCTATATATGCACTTGGACTTGGTTGGACTCTTCGCGGACGCGAGCGCCAAAAAATTGATGCCTTTGAGATGTGGAGCTGATTATTAATTTGACTGCTGAACGGTAAAGTTGTGTCCTAGACCGACCTTATCAACAAATAGTTAAGTTAATTAAAAGTTAATTAAGGATATCATTTATCGTGAGCTATTTTACGATCGTTATGTTATCCTGAAACAAATTAATAAAAGACAATCAGTAAGTTTTTGCTTTAATTTTTATTAATATTAAAAATGTTTTCTACTCAGACAGAAACTGAGGCGATATTAGTACAGCATAATAACGCGTTATTTGCAGAGAACGCACAACGTTCGCAAAATGAACAAGCACTATACAATGATTGGTTCTAATCAGAAAACAATGTTAAAAAGCTTAATATAGATAATCAGGCACTAAATGAAATAATTATCGCAATGGAAAAAAGATTAGCACAGCTTAAAAATACCCAACAATAAACAGTTTCAACAGTTAATGCTGACAGAACAAAAGACAACAAAAAATCAGACATAACTAAATACTTACTGGACTGATAAGGAGGAATTATCAAATGAAACGGAGTGGATAAGAAAAGAGAAAAGGAATACCAAAAAGCGTAAAATGGATACTTCATTATCTCCTTCCTCCCCAGAGCAAACAACCACCGAAAAACCAATTAAAAAGCTAAAACTGCCACCACCAGTCGTAGAAGAAGGTTTCACAACTGCTGCCGACTTAAGTAAAACTCTAATCGATGCTGGTATTTACTTCACTATAAGAGTCATAAATAGTGAAGTACGAGTAATTTTTCGTATCACACATATGAAAACAAACCAGAAAGACCAATCATAGTAATTGTTAAAAAATTACATCATACCTTTCAGCCAAAGGATATAGTAAGAGATCTACAAAGAAGAGGATATAAAGCTATTCAAGATGACAAGAAATTGAAATGGAAAACCAAAAATCCTTTAGATATGTTCGTCCTGACGTTTAGACAGAACGAAGTTTTTGGAATAACTGATATACCAAGCATGAGAGTTGAGAGCCAGCCATTAGAGAGTTCAAGACTGATTCCGCAGTACAAAAGACGCCAGGCCTATGGTCATACATGGAAATATTGTAACAAGGAACCAAGATGTGTTAAACGCATCAGTAAGCACCTTATACAAGATTGTAAGAAACCACCAGAAGACAAACCAAAATGCGTCCATTGTGGCGAAAGTCATCCTACAAATTACCGCGGATGTTATGTAGCCAAAAAAATACAAAAGCTGAGAAATCAGAAATCAGAAAAGTTTAGTGCTACATATGGTCCATCTTGCTTTATGGCATGGAAACATGGACTTTGAAAAAAACATCTATCAACAAACTTGAAGCACTTGAAATGTGGTCATTGAGAAGAATGATGCGCATACCTTAGGTGGATAGATTTCGAAACGATGACGTCCTTAAGAGAGCCGGCGCGGAAAGAGAACTCTTTGAATTAATTAAAAAACGCAAGATTGGTTACCTTGGGCACATATTGAGAGGAGCAAAATATGAAATACCACAGTTAATCCTACAAGGGAAGATCGAAGGTAGGAGAGGAGCCGGCCGCAAACAATTATCCTGGCTAAGGAATATTAAAAAATGGACAGGAATACACAATACAGGCGAGCTGTGTCACGCCGCCAAGAACAGAATTCTAGTAATGAGATAGTCGCCTACGCACTTTGGTGTATGGCATATTAA